GTTTTCAGTAGCACTCTGACTGTAGATTATTGGTCATAGTTTACTACAAAGCCAGTCAGTAGCAGGGGGAGGGCAAGGGCAAGGGGGACAGAGACAGCATTCTCAAACAACGTCAATATTTGTGGAAGAAGGGAAGGGCAGGGAGCCCCACTCAGTGTGTGCTGGCATCATCCCTTCCAATGGGAAACACTTGCTAGACCTCAGATGTGTCTGCATGGCCCATTCGGAGCCTACATAAATCAAAACTAGAATTAGGACTTCTACAATGCAACAGGCCAGTGTGTGGGCAAACGGAGGACCCGGATGAACTAGAAGACACCTGCTAGTCTTTTTCTTTTTTTTTTTAAACAAATAGTTTATTGTCAAATTAGTTTCCACATAACACTCAGTACTCATCCCCACAAGTGCCCTCCTCCGTGCCCATCCCCCCCTCCCCCCCACATCCATCAGTCCTCAGTTTTTGTCAGCATTCAAGAGCCTCTCATGGTTTGCCTCTCTCCCTTTCCCCCACCATTTCCTCCCTTCTTCTCCCCCTTGTTCCTCAGTTAAGTTCCTCCTAATCCTCCTATACGTGCAAACATATGATATTTGTCCTTCTCTGCCTGACTTATTTCGCTCAGCATAACACCCTCAAGGTCCATCCATGTTGCTACACATGGCAATGAGAAACACCTGCTAGTCTTATTAAAATGAGAAAGGTAGGAACTCAGAAACCCTGTGTTATTCTGAAAAGAGCACAAACATTAGATGACAAAGGCTCATCACAGGCAAGTGTGACAAAGGCTGATCAAAGGGCACTCTGTTAGTTGCTCTGTGTGATTCCACAGCAATCTCGGATAGGGAAGCAGGTAGTAGAAAATAGAAAGGAACAGAGAGGGGACCTGGATTTATTCCAGGTATCCACCCAAACAAAATTAATTTGTGACAGATCACACATGTATACACAGAAATGAAAGCGATAAAAACAGAACCCGTAGAAGGCAGCAAAGAGAGTAAAGGAAGCAGATCCACAGCTGGGTGAGGCTTGGTGCTCAGGCTCGGAACTGGGCAGCCTAGGACCAGCATGAACCCAGTTCCCTTTGGGGTAACCGGGACTAAGCAATATGTCTGCTGCAAAAGCAACCAAAGCACCTAGTGTGGCCCAGGCTTGTTAATGTTGCCTGTTGTTCTCATTTGCTCGTGAAGTGCTGTGGAGAAGGAAACTTGCCAGTCTGATCAACATGGCACAGTGAGCGTCATTGGAAGGGCATGAGCCAACGGCACGGTGACGGAAGACAAGAAAAATAGTATACAAGAATAGGTTTAACATCACTTTTATAATAATACTTGACTGCAAAGGGGCCATTTTAAGTTGATTTTGCTACCAGAAGTCTGCTTTTTTGCAAACCCTCAGCACCAGCCAAATTAGCCCATTTGCACAATTCCCAAGACATGTATGTTAGCCAAAAAGTTTCACCTCAATACAGCAAACCTTTAAATTTAGCTGCCAACTGAAAGGAAACTGAGGGACTAGAGGCACAAGTTGGAAGATAACAAGAAAGGAAGCAAAAAATCCAGAATGTGGGACATTCTTCAGGACAGTTAATTGATCGTGTCTCTTTATTAAGTCTAGAATCATGAAAAGATCCTTTAACTGCTAGAATAAAAGAGACTCAAGGGATATACTGGCCAAATGTGATGCATGAGCCTGGACAGGATCCTGGTTAGGACAATCGGGGGGACATTCTGAGAAACTAGAAAGCGGGGTATAAGTTAAAGACAGGACAAACTCTTATTGACCTGAAAGGGTAGCTAGTATTAACTTAACAATGTTACAAATAGCAAATTAGCATAGCTCATTAAATAAAAGTGCACATGTGCACACACAGGCATCTAGAAGGATAAATAGTAAGGAATTAACAGCACTAATTTTTGGAAGGTCAAATAGTGTTTTATTTACCAATATTCTTTCTAAGAGGTACATGACTAATTTTATAATAACAATAGATTATTTTTAATTCTAAAAAGACTGGATTTTAAGACAAGGCATAAGGAGGTAAAGTAAAAACTCATGAGGGGAAACAGCAGGTATGCTCAGCGCCTGATGGCGCTGATGCTGAGGACCATCAAGCCGTCGTACAGAGTGTGGGAAACACACACACCTCTGTGGGGTGCAGTCCACGAAAAAGAAGAAACATTTTATTTTTTATTTTTTAAGTGTTTATTTATTTTGAGAGAGTGTGTGCTCAAGTGGGGGAAGGGCAGAGAGAGAGGGAGAGAGAAAAGTCCAAGCAGGACCACCCTGCACCCCGCCCCGCCACCAGCACAAAGCCCTACATGGGACTCCATCCCATGAACCTTGAGGTTATGACCTGAGCCAAAATCAAGAGCCAGATGCTTAACCAACTGACTTGGACACCCAGGTGCCCCAGGAAGAAACACTTTAAAAATAGTGTGGTCAATTGTGCCCACCATGCCACTGTATACATGTATGTCCCCTGTGGGATTCTCCACAGACTCCTATAGAAAATCCATACATCCTGAGGCCAGCACTCAAAATCTGTGGCAGAACAGTGAGGAACCCATCTAAAGATGAGAACCATTGACCTAAAATGTTAGCCGTGTAGCTTTTTATTTTTATTATTTAAAAAAACATTTTTTAAATGTTTTATTTATTCTTGAGAGAAAGAGACAGAACAATGAGTGGAGAAGGGGCAGAGAGAGAGACAGAGACACACACACACACACACACACAGAGAGAGAGAGAGAGAGAGAGAGAGAGAGAGAGAGAGAGAGAGAATCTGAAGCAGGCTCCAGGCTCTGAGCCGTCAGCACAGAGCCCAACACAGGGCTTGAACTCACAAACCACGAGATCATGACCTGAGCCGAAGTCAGGTGTTAAACTGACTGAAACACCCAGGTGCACCGCTTTTATAACAGTGTAGCTTTTTAACAGTAGGTCCTTGAAAATACTCTTTAAATTCCAAAAGATCTGAGAGAGAGAAGAAGGCTGAGTAAGGTGATTGGACCCTTTACTCAGACTCCTCAGCTCCTGTGTGAAGCCATCACTGTCCCCAGCTCCTAATGTACCGGGAGGGGAGAAGGCATAAGATCTCACATTCAGGATAAGTTCCTCGATGGCCCACAGTGCCCTCATACTGCTACCAGTGGGGACATGCAGGGGATAACAAGGCCTCAGGTCCCTGCCCCCAAACACACTGGGCCCTTTCCCCTTCTTGATCTCAGTCCGTAGCATTCTTCAAAGAGTCAGAGTGAGCTGGAGAGCCCGGATGTGATGGGATATATTAGCAAATGCCAGAAATCTGGGAAAGTGCATGCGAGGAATAAGCAGATTTGGAGGTGAGTGAGGGAAAGGACTCTGGCTTCTCTTTGAAAGTTTCAGTTAGAGGACAATTTCTGAGCAACACGCCGCAAACTCTGAAATTCTAAGAATTTGATAAATAAGCTGCTGAACTTCATGAGTGCTGTAGGTCTCTTTCTAAAAATGGATTCCATGGGACCCTGATCAGTAGACTAGATGACAAGAGGGAAGTCTGGGCTGCGGTCTGCAGCGAACAGTTGTTTTATTACAACAATATTGGTCAGACTCCCGGCGATATCGAGTCTTTGATAGGCACAGCCCGCTCACACTCAGGAGTCATGGGGGGCACTGACCTTCCATCTACTCACAAAGGCCAACCCCTTCCTTAGAGGCAAGTGTTTGTTTGCATCTGGGTTCCAGCTGCAAAGTACCCTCTCCCGGCCAGACAGGTCGGGCAGCATGCCTGGGACAGGGCAGGCTGCGTGTGTCAGGAGAGCTGGGTCCTGCTCCCAGGAGCCTGGGGTCAGGGAGGGTTAAGCCAGGACAGGGAGCCCAGCATCTGATTAGAGCCTACCTCCCACACTACTGCAAATTCCCAAGCGTGTTAACAAGTCAGTAGGTGGTACTTATTGCATGATGCATTTATTTTGACGTTCTTTAAAGTTAAATTACGTTCTATAGGGTGTTACCCATATTCCTATGTAAAGTTTCTTGACTGTGATGACTGGGAACTATCCTTCCCCTCCACTTGACTGCCCAGGCATGTGGGGGCCTGGCGAACAGAAAATACTGCAGTTGCCACATTCTTAAATACTCTGAGGGAGGGAAGGAAGAAACAGAGAAGAGCACCCTCAAATGCCTGGCAGAAATGACTGGCTAGTAGAAGGGGTAATCACAAAACAAAATAAATAACATGATATCAAAACCAAAAGTAGAGTTTATGCCTGAAAGGTTGGAAAAGAGGCAATACATGATATTAAATTTAAGAGCATTTGTTGAATGAGAGAACCCTAAGCTTGATGGTCTAAACTTCAGTATTGAAAACACTGAGTACAAGAATAAGGTGACAAATGCTTTTAAAAAAAAAAAATAGATATTATGAGCTACTTGGGATCTTCTGTTTTGAGTTCAAATAGAATACAGCTACTTAGGGGCACCTGGATGGCTCAGTCGGTTGAGCATCCGACTTTGGCTCAGGTCATGATCTTGCAGTTCGTGGGTTCGAGCCCCGCGTTGGGCTCTGTGCTGACAGCTCAGAGCCTGGAACCTACTTCAGATTCTGTGTCTCCCTCTCTCTGTCCCTTCCCTGTTCTTGCTCTGTCTCTAAGATGAATAAATACTAAAAAAAAATAAAATAATAAAAAAAAGAATATAGCTCCTTAGCTCATCACCTTGCTGCCCACTGGGAGACGGGAGAAGTCATCCCCAGGATTTCGGGGACCTAGCTGGCAGTGCAGAGCTTGAACTCGACTGTTCTTCCAGTCCCAGCATAGAACTGACTCCAGGAACCCTCCCAGGGCACCGGCTGTGGTGGCTGTCAGGCCCTGGTTCCTTACGTTCTCTCAGAAGGCCTTGCGAGAGGACCTTTCCAGATTCTTTGGTACAATTTATACTGCTTCCTTAGCATTTACATGGAACTCAAGAGACCTGAGGGGAAGTTTCTCTAGTGACCTTTCAGATATTCGAGCCACATACATACCTCATCTCCGTGCATGTTGGCCACGTATTTGAAGTCTGGAATCCCAATTCTGTGCTCCTTTGGGAAGCGGCCCACAGCAAGAACCCACAGTTTTCTGCCTTTACAGGGAAGAGAAAGATAGAAACATGAGCTGTGTTTGAAGATGACAAATGAACTCCAGGAGAATGAGGAGACAGAGCAAACTGCGGCTTCTCCCACCTGATTCATGTCTCATGATGCCCAGAGTGCATAGGACTGACGCCTCTGTGCCTAAAATGCTTAGTTCCCTACCAGCCCAGATGCCTTCAATTTAGCATGGATATTTAACTTCCTGTTTTAGAATGTGATTTTTAAAAATCGAAGACTGATTAGGTTGCATAAATCTTATTTTTCTAAAATGTTTATATGCTTTGCTCTGAGTCCCTAGTGCTTTTCAGAAATGATCTTGCTAATTTTCATAATTCTACAAACTTAAATTGCAGTCAGTGGTTGACTGGGAGGGTGCCATAATTCTCAGTGCAAGAGAAGTGAAAAAAGCAACAAGCAATAAAACATGGAACTCCAAAGGGAGATTGTTTTTAAAGTTAGAAATCCTGAATCTTGTATTCAAACTCTGATGTAACACAGCTCCTTGGCAAGGAGTGTCCTTGATGTGCATGAGTCTTGTCCAGTAAACTAGAAACTACAAAGTATCCTAATGATGCCTCAAGGAAAACTTCTAAATCCGAATCCTGCAGTAAGGAGCAGGATTCGGGCAAGGAAGGGCCGCGATTAAAGACCACAAGGCATCTGCTCTGTGCAGACACCACGGTTGGGACCCCGGTACACATTATCTCAGTAATCCCTTGTCACGACCCACTGAGACGGATTGTGAACCAGACTTTACAAGTGAGAAAATTGATCTTCCAAACATTTAAGTAAAGCTGCTTCTGATCACAGCCAGTAAGAGGCTGTGATTCGAGTCCCAGAGCCAAGACCTGACCTATTTGACTTCAATTCTAGCACATCTTCTACTAATAAAAACTGCCGGTATCTCTGGAGGCTTGGCTTCCTAATCAGTAAAATGAAGAGGTCCCTTTCAGTCCTAAAATCATCTCCTTTAGTCATCAGTCTCATTTAATACAAAGATGTTAGAATTAGAAATTGAGGAGCAGGTTTGAAAAAACTATCACATAGATACAAAGTTCAAACGTCCGTGATATCTGAGCCTTCTGTGGAGTTCAAGAGCCCAGGGAAAGAATTTAATTAACAGCAGCTCCTGCACTAATGTGGAGATTTATGTGGAATTTTAGATCTAGTCCCCTAAATCAGGGGTCCCACAGACTGAGGAACACTCAGTTGGCATGAGGAATCCAGGGAGAAATAAGATACTCAGCCTGTATTTTCCACCATTCATACTTATTATAAAATTATTTTAGGAAAATTTTTCATGACAGAGTGATGCTTTAAATTTAGTAACTGCAGGATTTCTCAGAAAACACCCACAAGATGCCATTTATCTGACTTGATACCACCTGGTTAGTGTGGAATCCTCATTCATTCATTTAGTACTACTATATCCAGCCATTTAGGCAGGTGATCAGACTGTACTGGTAAGTTATACTCTCTACACCCAGTGGGTTTCTGATCTAAGTGGGGACTAGCAATGTACAAACACATCATTACACTAGACTGTAATGTATATGGCCAGAGAAATGTATATAGGTACTACTGTGCCTGTAGAATACAAGAAATGGCTAATTTTCCCCAAGGAGGGGATCATGAAAAGATTTCCAGATCTAGGAATTTATAGATGATTTCTGAACAGGGTTTTGAAGAATGATTCCAAGTTTGCCATGTGGACAAGTATAAGCCATCCAGTGATTTCCCATCAGAACCATTTCATTAACTCTAGAAGCTTCTATTCCCCAGTATGAATTCTTTGGTCATCCAGAGTTTCAATCCTACAAAGGTAGTATTTTCATATGAGTAAAAAAAAAAAAACAAAAAAACAAACAAAAAAACCTTTTCTGACTGAGCTAGTAAACCTGGTTCTTTAGGGTTCCATCTGGAAAATTCTTTTCTCTAGCTATTAATGCTTTTAAAGCTAGAATAATCACAGATTTGTACAGGAGAGGACTTAGTCCCCTCCTAGGGGGAAAATTCAGTATCATCTCAACATAATATTTACCAACTGTGATAACAATACCACAACCAATCTGCAACAGCTGGCCTGTTACATAAGGGTAGGGAAAGACAACAAAACATGACTTGACATGGATAGCCAATACTAATTGGCTTAAGGAAGGAGGGAAATCAAACCAGTAATACCTAAGTGAAGAAGTACTTTGTGGGTAACTCAATCTCCATTTTAGCATGAATGGCCCCTAAGTGAACTGCAAGATGAGAAATTTACCTTGAATAACCTCAGTGGCATCAAGTTTGAGAATGAAAACCAACCAATGATCCTGGAAGATACTCATGCAGTGCTTTTGGAATGACAAGCTTCTTGAAGGGTTTCAACCCCCTATCCACAAGCACTGGCCACCTTGGCTTAGACCAGAGTAAATGCACAAAGGACAAACTTTACCTTTCACAGTATGACTCCCAAGATAAGGGTAATTTAAACAAGATATTTTCTTTCTTATCGAGGTTGGAAAGACTATCCTTATTCCCCCAAACTCTTTCTAACACCAGATGTGCTGAAGAATTCTGAAATGCTTGGCATCTTTCACTAGTGTTAATGAAACTTGGATTCCAAAGATTTCATGATCTATATTATATTCAAGAACTTGGAGCTCGACAAAAATTTCGGGGAGGTAACATAGGTGCCTGACTGGGTTTGCTTGGAAGATCAGGAAAAGTTTTAGGAGGATTCATAAAGATCCAAAGACAAGAAAGCAGACAATTAGTGCCAAGAAGTGCTTTAGGAATTCAGGGGAGAGCAGATGGAGAAGTTTGGAAAGCTAAGTATAGCTTCAACAGGTAGAGATGGGAGGCGTGTCATGCCCACATCAGAATCACCTGGATCCTTGTAAAAATGCCAACTCCTGAGCCCCATCTGCTAAATCAAACTCTGGGGTAAAGCCCCAAACCTGCATTTAACAAGCTCCCTTGATGATTCTGAGGCCCATTAAAATTCGAAAGCTTGCTGAGACTGAGGTAGTGAATGTCCAGATAGATCTCAGAGGTACCTGATCTTTAGGTAAAACCATTTCATTTTACATATAATCATGAACATGTTTCTATGTTAACAAGTATACTCCTTTTTATTTTATTTATTTTTAAATTTTTGTACCAGTTTATTTTGAGTATCAACATTCATGTAGCTTAATTAAGTTCATTCTAGTCTTAGCTTGATCACACAGTAATTCTTTTTTTAAATTCCTTTTCCATAAGCCTTTTACAATGTTCTCTCTTAGATTAAGATTTTGTCCTGTTCTTCTTCTTTCCCATTTTGAAACAATTTGTCTTTCTTTAGGATGAAATTACTTTCATTTCCCTCCACAAAGATGCATTTCCATTCCTCACACCTTCTTTTCCTGAAAACACATCCTACTTGACTTGTGTTCACAGATCTTTCCCAGGTAGCTTTAATTTCTTTTTTTTTTTCCTTAGTTTATTGTCAAGTTGGTTTCCATATAACACCCAGTGCTCATCTCAACAAGTGCCCTCCTCCATGCCTATCACCCCCTTCCTTTCTCCTAACTCCTTTTAAATGGCTGTTTAATATTTTATTATATGATTACCATTTATTCAACCAATACTCTTTTGTTAGATGTTAAAAAAAAGTTAAAAATTTTTAATGTTTATTTTTTGAGAGACAGACAGACAGAGCACAAGCAGGGGAGGGGCATAGAGAGAGAGAGAAACAGAATCTGAAGCAGGCTCCAGGCTCTGAGCTGTCAGCACAGAGCCTGATGTGGGGCTGGAACCCACAAACCATGAGATCGTGACCTGAGCCGAAGTCAGACACTTAACTGACTGAGCCACCTAAGTATTTTTATGTAAATTACAGAATATCCACTAAAATTACGTACAGAATTTATAGCAAAACTCTTACATGATAATGTAAAATAAATCAAAATACAAGTTATATAAACTACAATCATGTAAAACAGGTTTTTCATTTAAAAAGTACCAGGGAGGGGCACCTGGGTGGCATAGTCGTTGAGCATCTGACTCTAGATTTCAGCACAGGTCATGATCCCTGCATCATGGGATTGAGCCCCAGGTCAGGCTCCAAGCTATGCATGGAGCCTACTTGGAATTCTCCTTCTCACTCCCTCTACCCCTCCCCCCCTAGTTCATGTGGTGTGCTGTCAAAAAAAAAAAAAAAAAAAAAAGGACCATGGAAGGAAATAATTCCATAGCATATAAAGCTTAACTTAACATAATAGTCTACAAGAGTGGACAATGGCACACCATGAATGACAAGGGGTTTGGTGGGGTGGTGAAATCAATTTTTTTTCTCCTTTGCATCAGACCCCATGCTAAGCACTTTGTTCCTTGTACTTCACAACACCTCCCTGTAGTGGGCAGTACCCACAACTTACTGTTAAGGAAACTGATTCGGGGGCCCCTGGGTGGCTTAGTCGGTTAAAGCGTCCGACTTTCGCTTAGGTCATGATCTCGCGGTTTGTGGGTTTGAGCCCCGCGTCGGACTCTGTGCTGACTGCCAGCTCAGAGCCTGGAACCTGTTTCAGTCTGTTACTCCCTCTCTTTCTGACCCTCCCCTGCTCACGCTGTCTCGCTCTCTCTCTCCTAGAAATAAACATAAAAAAAAAAAAAAAAAGGAAACTGATTCGAATGGCAGAACCAGGGCTCTACAGGGTTCTAACACAGGTCTGATTCCAAAATCTGTATTCTCCTGAGGACTCCAGGCTGCTTTAATCTCCCCAAAAGTTCTAGATAGGTCAGAGTCAAATTCACCCTGTGGGAAACGTTCCCAGGCAATTTTTTCAGTGTTGTGTTGCTATGGTTTGTGCCTGGAGCAAACCACACTGCCACGACCTGGCTACGACCAACTGAGCCAAGACAAGACACCCGACTTGAGGGCTAGCCTGTCAGATTCTGCTCGGAGCGTGTCAGTGGGACATGCCCAGCAAGAAGCGAGAAGCAGAGACTCTGCCTGGGTGGC